TTACCCAAAGCTCTGCCTCCCGGAGCCATCCGGGTGGGACTGTCGTAGCTTCCAGGGAGCCGGGCCAGGCAGGACCCGGAACTCTGCTCAGAGGACAAAGGTCTCCTGTTGCGGGCTCTTGGCTCTCGGAGTGATCTCGGGGGCGCCGAACCTGTTTTCTCGTGTGAGGTTCCGGCTGACGATGTGTGGGAAAGCACCGGCCTGTGAGCACGTGCCCTTTAGAGTTCCTTCCCCTCAAAACTTCTGGCACGTTCTTTCAATCATGCTCAACCGTGACAGACTGCCGTCACTTCAAGCTGCTCTGGTCTGGGGACTCGGCCGAGAGTTGTCTGCGGCCCAGGCTGGTGGGCAGTCGTGGTGGATAAACGGAGTTGCCCTGTCTGAGATGCCGAAGGAGGTGGAGCCCCCGCCACCAGCCAGGGCCTCGCATCACCCCCACCCCCAAGGTCACAGGCCGCTGGGAGGCCGCCGAGCGCCTATGCGCGGCTGCTCTGCACTCAGGTGTGCCCGAGTGCAAACTACACACCACCCTCGGGGACTTAGAGAATGTAAGAAAGCTCACCGAGGGTTTTTCACATTGATCGCTCACCGAAACGGCACTCTTTGGGGGACAATGGGTCAAGTGACAATAAAGCGAGTTTCCCCCACGTCTTCTCACTTTGTAAACACGCAGTGAGGACGTTTGCCACATCCTACGTGGCGTCGCGTGGCGTCCGGGCCGCCGATCTGGGTAAAGGGGGTGCGCATGGCTGCGTGGCTCGCTAACCGGCCTGTCGTTCGTGAGGAATTCTGGAATTTTTAAAATATTCCGGACCAGGGAGTCATCGCCAGAAAAGACACAGCCTTTGCGAGACGGTGAATCGGAAAGACGACACGTAGTTGATGTGTGAATCTTCAAAAGTTTCATAACTTGATCGTCACGTGGCTCGAAGTGGTCAAACAGTCGGAACACTGGTCGGTAGCGCGGTGATAACTTGGCGTGGTGACCGGTAGTTACTGGCTTAGCGTGCGATCCCGTCGTTTAATCACTGTGTTGTACACCTGAAACTAATACACTCTTGTATGCCAACTATGTTTTAATAAAAAATTTTAAAAAAATACAGATAAGGGAAAGACACCCCTCGACCTGGAGTTCCCAGTAAGGCTTCCTGGAGAGCGTGGTCTGGGGGTGATGTGGGCAGCGAGGAGCGCCCCACCCCAAGTGTCCAGACGGCGGTTAAGCTAGGGATTGGCCACTGACAGCCCATGGACCAGACAAGGCTTCCTCCTGTTTTGTATAGTATGTGAGCTAAGGACGGTTGGTTTTTAAACGGTTGGAAAGAATCGAAAGGAGACATTTTTGTGACACATGAAAAGTGCATGAAGTTCAGGCGCGGAGTCCGTAGCGAAGCCTCGCGGCACAGACGCACCTGCCCACTTACCGTCTGCTCTCGCTTTCACACTGCGGGGCCAGAAACATTGACTGTCTGGCTCACCACAGACCAGCCCGCGACCCCTGGCCGAGGGGCCAGCTCAGTTCCACGGAAACCACTGGAAGCATTGGGACGGGGGAGCCTGAGAAGGGGCGGGTTCAGCACAGCCAAATGGACTCCGGGCCCTGGACGTGGCCGGGAATTCAGGGATGTCTGTGACGGAGGGCTGGCGGGGAGAGGACCTGGCCTCCAGCCCCCCAGGACTGGAGATCTCCAAGGCGAGGCTGAGGGTGGGGAACCCGGTGATGGGGGAGAGAGAGATGGATCTTTCTGGGCGAAGACGCTGGGACCTGTCAGAACGGTGTGTGTAGGTGACTTAGTAGCCATGGAGGCAACTGGAAATACACAAATGGAGGCTGGAGACCGGAGGACCGAGCCGGGGGCTCAGGAGGGACAGCCGCAGAGCCAGGAACGGCTGAGACTCCAGCGCTGAGCCATCTGGTCCCAGGACGGCGAAGAACAGGACGGCCACCGCCCCTCCCCCGCCAGGGTCAGTGCGCTGTCCCCGTCCCCCGAGCCAGCCGGAACCCCCCGCCCTCACTCCGTGGCCCCAAGAGCCCGTCATCCAAGCATGGAGACAGGAAGAACTCGATTTAGGGAGCATCGAAATCAGTCCTGGAGTTTGGAAGATGTGTACAAAATACAGAGAGTTCACGGAACAATACACTGGACCCGAGACCGGCCGCCAAGGGGCGACGCTTCCAGTTGACCTTGTCATGCGAAATGCACGGCATGCGACCTGCCGCTCCAGCCGTGCT